GCACACACACATACACACACAGACACACACACAGACAACCCCTCGACATTATGCGTTTTTGCATTGCACAGCTGCAAAAAACGCATAAAAAGCATATTGTTTGTACTGAAAAAAAAAAGAAAACGTAAAGTCATACGTGAAGACGAGTGATTTTGGTACCAATATAGGGTAGTACAGTACGCAAAAATGAATTTGCATCCTCCACAGATCGCTGAAAATTTATTGACCATGCAAGCGCTGCAAACATGCGGTTCATATCTTAGAGCATTAAAAAATAAACAATGGAATATTATTATAAACGACGGCACACAACGTTAGATGACTGGTACCACATCAGGTGGAAGCTACTATAAACACTCCGTGTCCAGAATACGTAAAATTTAGACGGAATATTTAACCCACTTATAATTTTGCTACAAGAGGCAAAATCCAGTGAATGTATGTAAAACGCTGAAACGGGAAGAACGTTCGAAAAATAAAGTGTGAGAATGAGCTATTTTGATTCGGGATTTGGGAGAAGAGAGGGGAATGTGGATTATCACATGTATTCTCACTGCAATAAGCTGAGCAGTTGTCACCGAGATATGTTTTATAGTGGCTTGCGTTGTTTTTCTTTCATTGTGATGCGCGTAAAAACAGAGAAGAGGAATTAGAAGACGTTTTGGGTAAGGACCTGGAGAGTGCAGGCAAATCTGTTTGCCCTCTCCCTTTCCTTCTTCCTGGAAAGTTCGAACACGCCAGCTGTCGAGAACACCAGAAAAAAGTATTGAAATTTAATCGTAAAAAAAATGATTTATGCAGTTGGGTTTATTACAATTATCTGGATCAGATGTTGTAAAAGTGATTTATAGGAGATATTTATAATCCACTTCTCAGGAAAAATAACTTTGTTTAGATGTTATGTCGTACATTTTACAGCGATTTTAAAGAATTTCTTTGCTCGTTGTCAAAATTTAGTAATTTTCATTATGTAAGAATTTAGATTATACAGAACATTGGTCGCCGAAATCGTGCATAAAACATTGGTTGTTATCAATTTCCATTTTTCGAATGCAGCACTTCTGCTAATAACTATTTTTTATTTTATCTAACACCTGTCTTGTAATGCCCGTAATGTATAAGAAATGCGACTTGATCCTAAGTAATTTTAAAATTAGGTCGTTTTCTTAGGTTATGTATAGATTATGTAACCTACCTTATTTATAATGAGTTTTTTAATTATTTGTAGATTGTAATTTTTACGCACGTCTTGGGTGGGCTACATAAAAAATTCGTTGTATGTAATTTTTTTTTTGGTAAATACAGGATTATATCCTCAAGTCTGATGAATAAACATAACAAATAGAGAAGTGCGTGTGCGCCTCGGCCGTTTAAACATCACTCAAAGAAAATTTTATGTGGAATTCTGAATCACAATAGGTTTAACGTTCCACAACGCCAGCAACTTAATTTTTCACAACATCAGCTTTAAAGTTTATTTAAAAGCAGTAGGCATATACCACAAACGCAAAACACCACGCGATAAAAAATCCAGTACGCGCGAGGAAGCTCACCGAGCAGTTGCCAGCAATTAATCAGTCTGAAGACGAAAACAGCTGTTCTCGCTGAGTGCGCTCTGCCTCACATTGATCGGCAAATGCAGCACAAACAGTCAAAACAGCTCGCTCTCATTCCTAGCACACAAATCAACTCGGCAATTCTAATGGTCCTTTTCGAATTGGCTGTCTGCTTTAACGTCATGCCGTTGTTTTTGACCCTTTTTAAAATTTGCTTTCCCCACCTAAATTTGTCGCACATAATAACTCAGCGCCTTTCCATCAAAAGAGCATCTGTTCAGACTCTAACAATATCATGAAAAGGGATACCCAGCTAGGCTCCTTGCAGTTTAGCTGTAGATGAATACTGCTAAGCTGAGGCAATATTTGCAGCCGGCTGATCAAGCTGTTCACGTCTTCATCGCCACACACTGACAACCGAATCCTGCTCACTGTCGGTGGTAACACAGGTAAAGTGAAAAAATAGTTCCCTAAAATAAAGGATATTTTTCTGAATTGATTTTACACTATTCCAGCTAACTTTTGCCTTCATTGGATGAACCAGTCCAGTTACTGCACTTTATCGCCTCAGAGGCGTACAGTCAAAGTAGACAACATTCAAGATTTCAAACAGCAGAAGTGCCTGACTAAAACTGGCGCTGAGATTTACCACACTCTTTCGCCTCCTACTTTTCGAGACTAACTCTTGACTGAATTGTGACCAAGTGGACTTCAATCTTAAATTTTCCCACGAAACAAACATTTCATTCACGTATTCTGGCAGGAGCAAAGAATTACTTCTTTTCTTCTCTTGTGTACGCTAGTGTCTCCAGACGATGAGGCTGGTAATAATTAATGATAATGATGATGGTGTTGGTTGATGATCATTTCATCCGTCACCATAAAAATTTCCGAGCAGGTGGCTCAAAAAATTTTTCAATAAATTTAGAAGAAATACACTGTATGGGAAGAAATGCCTGGTGACTAGGAGGATTTCAGAGATGATAACGAGGGCCTCAAATAGAGCACCAAATTAGATGGGCGTAACCAAACCAGTGCAGCTAAAGAAATATTCGTTAACTGCATATGCGATAAATACGATTTCTGCACTGATTAGACTTTTTGAAAGCTCGCATACTCTAGAGAAGAAAAAGACTGACCGTATAAGTCAACGTCGCGCAATCCGAGCCCTGCAATTCTATATTCCGGAAGCCGCGCAAGTTCTGTTTCTGCCTGAAAAAGCAAAAAAGGATGTTAAGAACACGAAGGATTCTCCTTTATTTTCGCATTAATAAAATGCACAACTTTGGGAAAAATTTGAAGAAATGATTGTGAAATAACCTCAAAAAAGCGGCAAAGTGAAAGTTGCTTGATATTTGGACAATTGCGACTGAGATAAAATAGAGCGGAGGCCGGATCAATCACATTCGGCAAAAAGTCCAGCTCCAGCACAGTCAACTTGTCAGCGAGATAA